ATGATGAATGGATAGCAGAAGAAATCAGGGGAGAAATAAAAAAAATCTTAGAAGTAAATAAAAATAGTAATACACCATATCAAAATCTCTTGAAGAGTACTAAGGCAGTACTAACAGGAAAGTTCATAGCAGTGAGTTCAGACACCAAAGAACAGAAAGATACCAAATAAATAATCTAACATTATACCTCAAAGTCCCAGAAAAAGAACAAGAAACAGTAAAGTCAGATGAAGACAGGAAATAATTAAAATCAGAGCCAAAATTAATAAAATTGAGATTAAAAAACAACATAAAAGATCACCACAACAAAAAGGTGTTTTTTTAAAAAGATAAGATTGATAAACCCTTAGCCAAACTAACCAAAAGGAAAAACCTCAAATTAACAAAATCCAGGATGCAAAAGCCAATATCACCACAGATGCTACTGAAATCCAGAGAATCATCAGAAACTATTTTGAAAACTTATATTTTAATAAGCTAGAAAATCTTGAAGATATTGACAAATTCCTAGAGACATATGACCAACCCGAAATGAACCAGGAAGATACAGAAAACTTAAACAGATCAATATCAAGTAATGGAATTGAAGCAGCAATCAAAAACCTTCTAACAAAGAAAAGCCCAGGACCAGACTGATTCTCAGTGCAGTTTTATCAGACCTTTAAAGAACTAATACCAATCCTCCTCAAATTATTTCATGAAATAGAAAAGGAGGGAACTCTGCCAATTTCATTATATGAAGTCAGTATCACCTTGATACCAAACCCAGACAAAGACATATCAAGGAAAGAAAAGGGGGGGGGGTTATAGATGGACACAATATCTTTCTTTTTTAAATAATTTTTAACAGATATTTTACTTTTCCTTTTTTAATAGCTTTATTTTATCTATGTATTCATTTTTGTGTGGTGCTGAGGATCGAGCCCAGTGCCTCATGCATGCTAGGCAATGCTATACCGCTGAGCTATAACCCCGGTCCAATGCAAAAATTCTTAATAAAATTTTAACAAACCTCATACAAAAATACATTAAAAATGACCAAGTGGGTTTTGTCCCAGGGATGCAAGGTTAGTTCAACAAACAGAAATCAATAAATGTAATCCACCATTAAACAGACTTAAGGACAAGAATCACATTATTATCTCATTTTATGCAGAAAAAAACATTTGAGAAAGTGCAGCACCCATTCATGTTTAAAACACTAGAAAAACTAGGGACAGAAGGAACTCACCTCAACATTGTAAAGGTTATAAATGATAAGCCCATGGCCAAAATGATTTTAAATAAAGTAAAACAGAAAGAATTTCCTATAAAAACAGGAACAAGAGAAGGGTACCCACTTTCACCATGCCTATTCAACATAGTCCTGGAAACTCTAGTCAGGGCAGTCAAGCAAGAGAAAGAAATTAAAGAGATATGAATAGGGAAAGAAGAGCTCAAATTACCTCTGTTTGCTGCTTATATGATCCTATATTTAGAAGATTCAAAAAACTCCACCAGAAGACTTTTAGAGCTCATAAATTAATTCAGCAAAGGAGCAGGATACAAGATCAACACCCATAAATCAACTGCATTCCTATACTACAATGATAAATCCAATTAAAAAGAAATTTGGAAAACTTTCCCATTCACAATAGCCTCAAAATAAAATAAAATAAAATACTTGTGAATCAATCTAACCAAAGAGGTGAAGGGCTTCTACAAAGAAAACTATAGAACACTAAAGAAAGAATTGAAGAAGATCTTATGAGCTAGAATGATCTCTCATATTCTTGGATAGGCAGAATTAATATTGTCAAAATGGCAATACTACCAAAAGTGCTATACAAATTCAATGCAATTCCTATCAAAATCCTGATGATGTTCTTCACAGAACTAGAAAAAGCAGTTTTAAATTCATTTGGAAAAGCAAGAGACCCAGAATAGCCAATGCAATCCTTAGTGATACAAGCAAAGCAGGAGGCATCACAATACTGGAATTTAAATTACACTACAGAGCTATAGTGACAAAACACGCATAAATATCAATGGAATAGTATAGAAGACACAGAAATAATCCCACATAAATACATTTATCTAATACTGAGCAAAGGTGCCAAAAACATATGTTGGGGGAAAAATAGGCTTTTTAAGGAATGGTGCTAGGAAAACTGGAAATCTATACATAATAGAATAAAATTTAACCCCTATCTCTCATCCTGCACAAAACTCAACTCCAGGTGGATCAAAGACCTAGGCATTAGATCAGAAACCCTGCAAGTGCTAAAAGAAAATGTAGGCCCAGCTCAGGAACTCACTCCTTAACAAGCCTCTTAAAGCACAAGAAGTAAAATTTAAAAAAAAAAAATCAATAAGTGGGATGGCATCCTCAGAGCAAAACAAACAGTTAAGATCATGGAGAGAGTCAAGAGAATAGGAGAAAACCTTTGCCACCTGCTCCTCAGATAGGGAATTAATATCCAGGATATACAAAGAACTCAAAACACGTAACAACACAAAATCAAATAACCCAATCAATAAATGAGCAAAGAAATTAAGAAGACACTTTTCAAAAGAAGAAATATGAATGGTCAACAAATATATAAAAAAAAAATTCAAGGACTAGCAATTAGAGAAATGTAAATTAAAACTACATTGAGATTTCATCTTATTCCAGTCAGAATGGTAATTATCAAGACTACAAGTAATAATAAATGTTGGTGAGGATATGGGGGAAAAAGCACACTCATACATTGCTGGTGAGATTACAAATTAGTGCAGCCACTCTGGAAAGCAGTATGGAGATTCCTCAAAAAAACTAGGAATGGAACCACCATATAGGCCAGCTATCCCACTTCTCAGTATATATCCAAAGGATTTTAATATCAGCTCATGACAGTGACACAGGCACATCAATGTTTATACCAACACAATCCTTCATCAGATTAATGGATAAAGAAAATGTCACACACACATACTAGAGTATTACTTAGCCATGAAGAAGAGAGACTTTATGGCATTTGCCAGCAAATGGATGGATCTAAAGACTATCATGCCAGTCCCCAAAACAAGCCAGACCCAAAAGGTCAAAGGTTGATATGTATTCTCTAATATGTGGAAACTTATTTAAAATAAGGTAGTGAA